CTGCTGAGACATGTCTTATTTTGGATGAGATTGTCACTGTTGATGTTGGCCAACCGTGGGGATGTGAGGAAAAGGAGGACCTAGGCGCGGAGCTCTGAATGCAAGCAGTGCGTTTATTTACAGTGAATGGACAATAACAATAAATCCTCAGTGCGTTCCTGACTCCCGTGACATGTCCTCTTCCCAGTGCTAGTGTTCCTTGTCTCCGCTCCTCAGTGTCTGAGCACCCTGTGCTCGCTTCCCTCTCGTCTCCACGCTTCTCCTGCGGAAATAGCAAAGAGGCAGCCATAAGACAAACACAATGCGGACTAAACATACTAACTGGCCGAGAGACTAACGTGAAGTCACGCAATGATCCAGCATCGGATAGAGCTCCATCACACTCTTAAGCAGCTCCTCTGACGAGGCTTGATCAGCTGCAGGTGTGTGAAGGTCTTCAGGTGGGGCCAACCACCTGGCACACCCACCAGGCCTGAAGGTGCCTGTAAACAGGTGCTCCCAGATACACCTGCATCCACACACACACACATATACCTGCAAGCAGGGAGAACGAGGGACAGCAACACCAAAAACACATATAATATAAAACAAGTCCATAACTGCTCAGGGACCCTAGGTAGCTCAGATCCAGGTCCCTGACAGTGATGAGCTGAGGAAAGGCTACGAAACCAAAAAGCCTGAATGCACAGCAGACCTAGACAGTAGTAATATTCATATAAATATTTCTGAGGGAAACATGGGTTATTTATTGATTACATGCCAGTGAAGCATGAAAAACTGACTTTGTTGTGTCTTCTTCCTTGATTTCTCCAGCAATTCCCTTTGCAGACGACCCTAGTCAGTTACCACCAAAGGATGGAGATCATCAACATCAGGGGCAAAGGGGGCAGTTTCAGTAGGGAAGGTTCAGGACTGAAGCCAGCTGTGGACAACCAAAAGCATAACAGGAATGCCAGCACATGAACAGCATCTACCAGGATGACCAAGAGGTGGAGATACTGGTCCCTACTGGATGCTAACAGATACCTCAGGGACAAATTACTGTTTCAGTTATTTATGAGTAAATGATAATAATTTCCTCATGTTTGCACCACCTGAAAATTAATGTTTTCAATATTTATGGTTATTTTGTTCAATGTGTAGTTCTCAAAACCACATAGTAAATTAAATTAGTTATTATAGCAACACGTATCTATTAAAATAAATAAATTTCAGCTCATTTATATTCTTGCTGAGAGTTGGGGACAATGCTCAAGGAACCAAATAAGTTTTATCCAAAAACTGCTTTATGCTTCCAAAGATTTTATACTTGGGCCGTTTATGTATTTTAATGACTGAAAGGCAGAAAGTTAAAGTAAGAAAACTGCACATCTTTAAAGTTTTGCATTAGAAAGATATTTATTCGAATATTAACGTTAATATTTATTTACCCGTGAGGTGTTAAAGTCAGTTCAAAGGACATTTGAGGGGTTTTTTGTGTTGAAACTCAGCAAACCCTTTTTTTTTTAAAATAGTTTTTGTTGATTATAAGTGTTTGTCTAATCTGTTATCTGTGCACCATTTGTCACTTTAATTGCTGCATAAAGCAACAAAGCACTTTTTAAAAACCTGAAAGTCTCTCATTTCCTGAAATTAGCACCATCCACAAAAAATTCTATCAAATCGATCTGGTTACAAACTGTCAGCAAATATCTATTGTAATAAACGTACTGTGAACAATGTTCCTAAAATTAATAAAGCTTCAGATGATCTTTAAAAATGTGATCGATTGTTTGTTTGTGACTTCTTTTTCAGGTAATGTGATGAATATTTTTGCAGTCTTGTGATTTACTGCTGACTGGCGCCCCCCGTCGCCGGCCTTTCGGTACTGCATACAGTGGCTGTTTCTCTCCAAGGTCCTGAAATATTGGGGTCCCAACTTGCAACTGCTTTCTTCATCTTGATGGACTATTTTCTTAATATTATTCTCTCTCAAAACTAAAACATCGCAGCAAAGTCCCACAGAGCCGGAGAGTTTCTCCACCTCCACCTTCCCCTTGAAAGATTTCCCTTGTCATCCTTTTAAACGGCTCAGCTACTTTAATCCTGACGGCTGGCCGCCGCGAATATATGCACGCGTTTGTTTTAATACTCCTCACCGTTGTGTGCCCGCATAGATAAACTTAATTGCAGTCTTCATTTACACACCGCAAGAAATGACCAGAAAGCGGCTTTAATTGGATTTATGGGCTACAAACTGGCGGTGAGCAGAATGGCCCGCAGCCTCTGAGCTGCACCGGCTTTCTGCATGTGGATATGAAATGACAGGCTACAGATGGTCCTTATTTTTTTCCCTTCTCTCTTTGGGGGCCAAATTCAAATCTGTGATCCATTACGCATCACAGATTTTGTGAGGAGTTGATGGTGCGTTTTCTTCAGTGATTTCGTGGCGTTAACCTGTGAAAATGGACCCGGCAAAGAAAGGTATGGTCTGTCAGCCTTTCAGGAATGTGTTTAGTATACCTCCGCGCGTAACATTTGCTATGTTTTATTGCACTGTAAAGCTATTCTGAGTGGGAACAGACAAACGTAAGATGTGCATAAGCATTTTTGTCATGACGCTTTTCTAAAAAGTAACAAAACCTAACTAGTAAAATAAAAAAAGGGCTTTTTTAATAACCAGAAAATGCACAGCTGGTCTCATATTCAAAGTTTTCTTACTAGGGCAGACAGTTTATGTCTTGGCTGCTCGTTTAGTTTGTTCACGGATGGGATGATAAAAGTACCCTCAGGCTTATTCTCTGTGCAGTGCCTTGTCAACAGGTGTTCGTGGGTCTACTTGGGGATAGGGCTGGGCTAAGTGCCACGCTGCTCCCACTAAAGAAGTAGGTCACATCTGGTCTTATAATATGAGGCCTCCGGGACAGAATACCTCCCTGTTGCCACAGCCACATGTCAAATCCTTTCCTAATTGTGTTAGATAATAAAATCTGAGCTCACATAAGCAATGCTAGAGCAACATGACTTGAAACTGTGTGCAAATGCACACTGGAACTGGACAAAACATTGTTTAACTTGCTTTTTTATTTTTTATTTTTATTTTTTACACTGAATCTATTCCCCAAAATAAAAGAAACAATTACCTTGCATGTATATATCCTTACTTACAATAAAACAACTCAACCCATGCCCAACAGAGCTAACATTCACTGTGTGTGAAAATGCGCATTTTCACCCTGCCTTTTTAATCTTTATGTATATATTGACTTATTTATTTTCAGATGCCCTCCCTGGGGGCGATGCAGGCAAATCAGACACCCTCGGGTCAACTGGCTCGGTCAGGAAAAGAGGAGGGGGCGCCAAGAAGGCGATGCAGGCAAACAAGTCTGCCCTCAGGGCCCCCCGAGCTCTTTGCTGCCTCACCCTTAGCAACCCCATCCGGATGGCTGCACTGGCCCTGGTGGAGTGGAAATATCCTTTTCTCTGAGAGAGTTGCTGTGTTTGTCTCTGCACATGTAGTGTGTTTTGGTTTGTGTATGTTTAATCCTGCATATGACGCACATTCATTAATAATCATTTGTTTCATCAATTTTTCCTGGAGAGATACATTCACAAGGCCTGCTCTTGCCTTAACTAGAGTCTGCAAGCCCTTTGACATTTTCATTCTTCTTGCCATTTTTGCCAACTGTGTGGCCATGGGTGTCACCAAGCCGTTTCCAGATGATGATTCCAACCCTACCAACCACAAACTAGTAAGTGTTCAGTGAACAAATATAAAATAATTTAACAAAGCCACCAAAAATATACAGGTTGGGCCATTTATATGGATACACTGTAATAAAATGGGAATGGTTGGATACTGGATGCCTGTGTTGGCATTTCTCCTGCAGTGTTGCTATCAGTGTGTGAAGAGC